TTATGCTTGAGTCAGGAAACTGAAAAGTAATTTTGAACAAAACTTCACAGTTTCAGAACTACCTTTCTCTTTTATCTATTTGCTTAAATAAAACCTGAAGGAAAAAAAAGTGACCTTTACTGCTGTTTTTCATTTGCTTTCATTAGAAAATGCAATCCTTCTGGCTTGTAGAATTTGCTAATATTTAAAAGGATTCCAGACCTAGTCCCTTAACTGAAGAAAAAATATTAGAGTTTTTAAAACAGCCTGGAGAAGAACATACTTTTGTTGTACCCCATAGTATTTTAGAAAACATGAAGTCCAGAGGCATGACTTCTCTCAGAATCATTGTATATATTACAGAGGAGAACAATGCAAATATTTTGTTGTACGTCCTAGGAACTGATTCAGGGTGAAAGTTAAGAATTCTATTTGCCTCTGAAAATATATATTTAAAATCATACTTGAAATCATAACATTTCTCTTATCAAGACTAAAGATTTACAGGTTCCTTCAGATTATTTTAGAGAATCAGAAAACATGAGAGTGAAAAGAAAAACAGAAATGCAACAGTGCACTAACAGTCATATTCCCTTGGAAAAGAAGCAAATGCTGCTATTAAAGAAAAGTTGAAAAGAAAGGCAGAAACAAGCCAAATTCTTTGTCACTCTTTGCTTGCCATCACATTTTCTCCAGTGAGAGACTTGAATCCTCAAGGAGTATGCAATTACTAATGGCATTTGTACCCTTCTAGTGCCTGGAGGTCTCAGCCAGGGACGGGGCCCTATTGTGTATGCGCTGTACAAACACATTGAAGAGCTCATTGTAAAGCTCTTCCAAAGCAATAGCTAAGCAGAATATGAGAAACAACTGAAGAGCAGACGAGGGGTGGTGCGCGGTCGGAGGGAGGTGATTGTGATCACAGCTGAAGCAGCAGTCGGTGCAGCCACAGACTAATCATTGCTGAAGGGCTTTTTGGCGTTTAATCTATGCAGCCAACGTTGGCTTATATAGCCGCCAGCACTGCAGTAAGTGAACATCTTTAATATGTTTATCTTCACTCTCCCTCCCTGCGACAGGAAAGCATTAGCCTCGTTTAAGGCAGAGTTCACATACTCAGCTCGGCTGGGGCACTCTGTCCTTGCAGGAGCACCCCAGGCAGATTCCCTTCCTCTTCTCTCCGTCTGTCCTGGCCACACTGGAGCTGTCCAGAGCTCCCAGCCTACTTGCCAGCAGGGAAACCTCTGTGATCCCACATCCTGAAGTGTTTGAAGCCCATGATCTCACAACCCCACCAGCACCTTTCCCTCAGGGTTGAGGAGCAGGGCCCCAACTGGGATCTTGGCCGTGGTGCTCATCAGGCTCCGTGTACCGACTGGGGTAGCCCGAACACCAGCAGCCCTCGGCTCAAGTTGACTAACCCCACCTCTTTGCACACTTCCACCATCATGTGGTATTTAGAGAGCAAAGGCAGTAGTAAAACATTATGACTTCCTGTATTTTCCCCTTCTCTTGTCCTATCTCGAATTGCATTCGAGAAAATATAAATATATATACATTCATATCAACAGCCCCAAATGTTGCGCATTTTTGTTGTTTTGGGGATTGTTTGGGTTTCGCATTTGTGTGTGTGTGTGTTTTATTTTGTTTTTGCTTTGTTTGTTTTTTAAGAACTGTCAAAACCCTACAAAGCTTGATAAACCAAGCTGGATTTGCAAGAGCAGGTAGACCATGAACCCAGCATCTCCTCAAGGTCTCCCAATAATTTCCAGTGCTTACTATTTCAAAACACAACTGCGTGAAATTCTTGTGAATAATGTACTAGATAGGGATTCATCTGCTGAAAAACTCTTCAGTTTAATTTTGCCTGCCTCCTTTCAATTTTAATAACTGATTATCTTCCTAAATATACAATGCAGATTAATTGTCTCTATGGTTTAACTACAAAAACCAGAGGCGTAATCAATACCCTTTATCCAATTTATTAGGCATGCATGACATTTAGGTAATTAGAAAGCAAAACATAAGAATCAAAAGAGCAGAATAGTATATTATGAACAGTAAAAGGGACTCTTTTCTTTCCCAAGTGAAGTGGTATTAAAATAGCTTAAAAGAGACAAAAATAGAAAGTTTGGCAGATGCATTCTGCCCTTTGTATGCTGTTGAATCCCTGGGCTTTCAAGGACATTTAAAAGGTTTACTACCATAATTTAAGACTCTTATTTCACACTGAATAGGAAAACAAACACCAAAACAATTTGGAAAACTTTATGCTAATAATTAAGACAAATGAATTTTCGCTCTCACAGTTTGCAGCCACGCAGTGTTCCCACTGAAACTCAAAGTCCAAGTGTAACCATTTGGGGATTTCTCCCTTTCCCTTCAACCCCTAACTTAAAACTGTTTCAACACTCGTTTCACACATGGGTACAATGAACACCTTCTATGGCCATTGGTTCCTGATAGATAATGTTTTTTTATCATCCACTCAGGCATTTACCACTGGTGCAAAATACCCGGCTATGAAGGCCACAGGTGAGCCGATGGCTTGTGGTATTGCTCTGACAGCTCCTCGTGTGACTCAACCACCCATGCCTAATGCTGAAAAGTAAAATACCACTGAGTAACAAAATAAAGAAAACTGTGCCCCTTGAAGGGGCCTCCTTGTTTGGTTTTTTTTTTTTTTTTCATTTTATCTTCCCGTGCTCCTTTCCCTCGTAGCCCACTGCACAGAGGGTCATTGTGTGCGAAATAGAGTGCATCAGTCTGATTATATAAAACCACATGTGCCTGTCACCGGCTTTGTCACTGCCATGTGGCACCTCCAAGTCCTTTAATTTGGGTTAGTGCACATGTGGAGTGCTCCTGCTCTCCAGGAAGACCAGAGGTTTCACCCAGTTGTTTATGTTTGATACTCAGACCGGTCACGTCGACCCTCAGCGAACAGCTCTGGAAAGCTGGTGCTGCTCCAGGTGGTTATGTGAGTTTCTACTCAATTTTTTGCCTATCAGCACACACAACTGATCTCACTGCATTGCGTCTCATATTCTGGAAGACTACCAAAACTTTCTGCTTTATATTTGCCAGAGAACTGGAGGCCAGGGCACAAGTGATGCTGTGTCCTATACTGGCTAGATTTCTAGGAGTAATGTTTGTATAAGGAAATACAGTGAAAAATAACAAGTATTTAATTGGATAAGCGTCAAACTGCATTTTGGTTTCACTTTCTGCACTCCATTCAACAAACTGGGAGTTTTGTTTGGACTTGCACAAAGCATGGGGAGCAAATAACTTCTCTGCTTGTTGCTCCAGCTTATGCTTGCCAGAGAGGACGTACCCCTAACACCCAACATTTGTGGGTGCCAGCCCTCATGTTGGCCCTAAGCATCTTGGCAGAGATACTACCAGCTTATGTCTGTGATATTTCTGCAAACACAGAGCCTTCAAAAGTCTCTGCATATTTGGCTTTACTTGGATTTGCTTCCTTCGTGGAGGTGGAGTAACCTGGGTTTGCCTATTTCACCTCACTGCACTTTGCACTCAAAATACCAGGCAAAGGTAGTAGGTTAGAATAACTCCTCCCCTACAACCATGCGAACACACACATTTGCATTTATTGAGCAAGATTTGATGCCAGGATATCAGCCAGACTACTAAAAGCAGGTAAACAAGCAGAGCAAACACAGGTGCAGTCCCAGGTTCGCTTGATAATTGGATATCTTTCTAATTGCCCTCTCTCTGTTAACTAGAACACGTAAGAGGCTCTACAGCCTTTAAAAGTTGGAGGTTTAGGATCTCTGCTAACCCAGAGACTGTGCAATCTTTCTTCCTGATGTACTGGAATGTCTTTGGAGTTTGAATGCCAGGTGGAAGTGGGTATTCCTGACAGTTCCCTTCGGAAGGCTTACCAGCCCTTTGGGTACAGAGTGGCGCATAATCACTCTCATAATCATTTGGGCAGATGCCAGTTGTTACTAATGAGTCTGAGAGAGTGGAAGTTGAAAAACTTCATCTCCTTTCTTTTGAGCTTGCTGAACCCATGACTGCCTCCTGTTTGCCCCTGAGTAGGGCCTTTTATCCAGGTTATTGGTATATTCGGAGTAGCAGCCCAGGCACTGGTGACACAGGATCACTGCAAAGGCTGAGGCTGTGGCTCTGCTGCTAATTTTTTTACAAAGAAAACAAACAGAAGCCTAGTATGAGCTTTAGGGGTGCAAAACCCTGTATAATTTAGAACCTTTAACATTTTCAGATGTTTTGAAAGACGGTGTTCTGCTTCTCTAAGTCTTTTTTTTTCCCCATTTCTGTCACATCGCCATCAGTGGTCAAATGTAATTGTGGAACTACTGACTCATTTCTGTCAGGTTACTCTTGAGTGTCTCTATTTTTCAGCTGGTAGTATTCTGAAAGTAAAATGCTATCTACTCTTTCAGAAGAAAGAAATCCCCAAGATTTGCAGGTGAATGACGGATGAATTGACTTTCAAATTCTTGACTTACAAGTGCAAATGACTTTTAATTAAGTTTAAATACGTTTTCCCTCTTCTGCTTTCCACTTACTCTTCCTAGAATCAAGCAGCTGGCCACATGGTGTTCCTTGTCATTTTTTTTGTCTGCTGTTTACAAAGCTAAAAACTTGAGGGCTGGCTGTATTACAAATATCTTAACCATTACAGAGAGCAAATAAAAAGTTACTTGGGGAGCATGTTTACAAGAGTTTAGAGGAAGTTTTGGAACCACCTGCTGTACTTAGAATCCAGAAGCAAAAAGTGTGATCGAATTCACTGAAATCTATCTGTACTCTCGTTTTGCAGATGCAAGTCATTTGATGCAACACAGAATTATAGATCTTTCAATGCAGGGCCTTGTCTAATTTGACCACTACACAGTGGTCAAATTATGGGAATACCAAGGCACTTCATCTAATGTAACGTTGGTATTAGGAGTAGGCAGAATTCTGATGAGTCATTTTTAAAAATATTTAATCACAATAAATACTCCAGCTTGTGAATCACAACCAAGCCTTTCTTTTCCCCTCAAAGCCTCAAATGCAAGATGGAGTTAATAATGCTAACTGAGTGAGTCTTATGTCTTTTTAAACACCTGTCCAAATGGGGGGAAAGCTCCCTACACTACAGAGCAGTTCAGAACTCCTTTTCCTTTCAAGTTAAAGAGACTGTCCTTTTTTTGTGACCGGAAAACACGTGCCATTTCAGGTTGATGGCACTGGAAGCTAAATCGTGGTTTCAGCTGCCTGAAACAGTGAATTTCCTGCAGCAGAAAGCAACAGGCTGTGTCAACACAACGAGCCTAACCAGTCCTGGCAACCCCAGCTGCTTATTGATGCAACTCTATTGCTAGTCAATAAAGGTTAAACTTGTTTGTGAACACTGCAGTGCTATACTCCTAGAGCACCACTGGGCTGTAATTCAGGTACTTATCTTCTAAGAAGTACAGAACTTTAAAATAATCAAGTCTTCTCTTGTGTGAAAGAAAAACTTATTTTGCTACTTAGCCACTAGAACCAGGCACTCTCCTGCTCAGCTTGGCAGCAACAATAAGTGGTTTTCTAAGACACACAGAAAACTCAATTAATTTCATTTTAAGTATTCATGCAATTTGCTCCTGTTCTTCCCGGATTTTGCAATAGATTCTCTAAATTGTCAGGGACACACAATGTTCAGGCATGTCATAACGAGACTTTTTTGTTATCTAAGAGATAGCATGCTCTTCATTCAGGTATTTTATCAAGACTGAATATTTATAAGCTCTTGTATAGCTCAGCAAAAAGAAAAGGTGAAAAGGTACCAGTCATTTGATCTCAATTTAACCTTAATTACACAGTGATCTTTTATAATGGTTATTCCCTAAGAAAGGTTGCTGCTTAACATGTACTGGGCTCAGGATGAAACACCACTGTTACCCACAGAAGTATTTATTTACATTTCAGAGCCAAAATGTCCTTTCCACATAGCCATCATACAGGAAATTTTTACTTTGTGTAGACAATTTGGAGGCCCGTGTTGATAATGGTACTGAGAAAGGAAATGCATTAGATTAGGCTGTGGTCTGCTAAAGATCTGTGCTCCAGTTTTCAAACATTGTTTGCAGTGTCTCTTTTAAATATGTGTCTCAAACATTCTGATACAAGTGGATGTAAAAATGCTAGATACCAATTTCTAAATTAGAAATGCTGAACAAGATCAGCCTATTGTACAATCCCGGCACTGCCAGTGGCACACTGATGTTTAAATTTGAGCTGCTTGTAGCTCAATGCTGTTATGATTTTTTCTGTTTATTTGCTGTATTTTCTTTGGTTCTAAGAGTGTTTGAGTATACAGAAAACAGTGATTTTTTTTTTAGATGAGATTTGCTTTCGTTTCGTAACAGGTTGGGAATTACACACTGTGACTTCAGGTAAAAATCTTGTTCTCCTTCACTTTTTGATTTGATTAAAAAGCAATTAGCATTTTCAGCTACTCCAAAACATCCCTTTGTTTGAAGATGTGTTACACAGCAGCCTTAACAGTCACAGCTATTCATTTCATATCTGAATGGCACTGAATTACTGAAACTGGAGAGTCTCTCTGGGTTTTTCTTTTTCAGCACCCTGTCATGGTTTGCTGTTGATTTTACAAAACAAACAAACAAACAAAAGGTTTTCTTTCCCTTTTTTGGAAAGGAGAACTTGGTCAGTTCTCTCTTTTGGTCTTTCACAGAAGAAAGACGGTGTTGAAGCTGTTTGGAAGCTTGTTTGCTTTTGCATACGCCTGTAGCTTGTTTTTTCTATTAAGTAAATTTTGTTGTTCTTTTGGTTTTGCTTAAAGGAGCACAGTTGGAAAATTCCCTTATTTTATAGAGCAGGTTCTCAGCTTTGTGGGACTTTCACCTAAACTCTGTGGGAGTATGACAGAGAAAGATAGAGAATGGTCTCTGTCTTTCTAAGTCAAATGTGCTATGGAAAGTCCAGAAGAATTGGTTACATAACAATCAACAACTCCCACACACCCCTCAGCCCCCAGTCTGTATTATCCCCTCTTTGTGCAGAATTATCTCCATTTACAAATGATTAGCAAGCCAGTGTCCACAGATGATGCCGAACAATTTACTATGCATATGCAATTCCTACACCCTAATGAAAGGTTCTCCTTCTTTTACTTATATGTATATATATTTAGAATTTCTGCCTGTTTTTCTTTCCTTCATTTTATTTCCAATTGCAAAACCACTTTTTCTTCTGGACAGGAGGGATAGTTGTCAGCTCAGGTCTTTTAGGCAAGTGTTGCATTGAGCAGGGAAAACACAGTGTAAGGGTAGTGTAAAGCACAGAAAAATCTTGCTTTTTGAAGGAAAGGTGTCAGGTCAGGCCTTGTGCTCCTTTGGAAGTTATTGAAGGCTCCTAAGCAGGGAACAGTGGCTGTGAAGTGGTGGCTGAGAGGCCACAGTCTCTGCTCCTTCCAGGGGTTACTCAGTACTGGGTAGCAATAAGCACATCAAAGCCACAGCACTGGTGTGACCATTTAGTGTGGTCTAACTCTGGTTTTCTAGTTATTAACAAATGTGCCGTCAATTCGCAGAGAAATTTAAACAGTTTCTTTTTTTACATAAGCTTCTGCGGGATGAGGAATTTCTCCCTAATATGGAATGATTTAAATTAATTTAGTTATCTTTGCCTTCACTTAAAATAACAATTTCTGTAACTTACTCAATGGGGAAAAAAAAAGAAAAAAACAGCTCTTGGTGACTAACGTTGATTGTACTGTGAGGTTTTCAGCAGATAATTATATTTAAATATGTGGGTTTATGACTAAATAATTGAAGCAAATTAATGCAAACTAATAAAGTTATTTCTAGACGGAAGTAGTTTTTTGAGAGAAGCACTGTGACAGTTGTTTCTTTGATTGTTTTTACTGTTTGCTTGAGAACATATTTTACATTGTGACACTAAGTAAAGCTAAATAATAGAAAAAAAAAAGGTGAGAAATTAAGACTGGCATTTTTTGGAATTCCAATGCAGTCTTCAACAGACTCACTTTAAACTAGTCCAAAAGAAGAATCCGGCCTTTTGTCTTCACATCAAAGCAACTTTTTAACCTGATTTTTCCACTTTGCAAAGGAGGTTTTGTTATGCCATGTAGGATTACAAATAGCAAAGATGAAAAGGTGCGCACCTAAGCCTCTGCAATTGCTATCTATGAACAGATGTGTATTCTGGAGCTGAAACATTTTGGACAGTGACCAAATTAAACTTCTCCCCTCGGATCAGTTACTGTGGAGTGATTAGGACCACGCAGGGCAGGCTCTGTGCACAACATTCAGTGCCCACCTCAGGACACCAATTCCCCTGTTTGCACCAGAATTCTCTGACAGTTCAGCTGCATCTGAAAATGATGCAGAATGAATTCAATGAAGAACAAAAGAAATGGGCTCTCCTTCTCATGCTAAAGCACAGCAGCAAGTGGTAGGAATCGCTCTGCCTTGCTTTAGCTGTGAGCAAAAACAATTGTCCAAGAAATTGAGAAAACTTTCCATGTACAGTTAATAATTTTTATTTTGGTTTGTATGTTTGGTTGTTCTTTGTCCTTCATGTATACTTAAAGATACTTTCACCAAAACCTGAGAAACTAACAAAGTGCTTGTGCTCTTTGGATTGGAAAGATGAGTACAACGTGTAAGATATCGATTTAACCCACAGAAGCTCACATGTTTTAAGTTGCTGAGACTGAAGATCTTTTCACAATGTCCCTGCTTCAGTTGCGGCTTCCCTTGCAAAGAGTTTGGTGAATCAAATAAAATCATCTATGATGCTAATAAAACACTGAAGCTGCAAAGAAAAAAGGAACCAGAAGCCAATGGAAATAAGTGCAAGGTGATGCTGACTTTTTGTCATACAGTGAACTTGCAAATATAACCCTCTGTGGCCACACTGTAAGAACAAATAAAAAAAAAAATCACTAAAAATTGTTAAAAGCAATACAAGAGTTTACAGAATTAATGGAATTATGCCCAGAGTTAGGTGAAATCAAGGGTTTAGGCAATCTAGGCTAACTAACACCGAAGAGTCACGGGTTGAATGTCAGTCAGTCGTTACATATTAGTTCCAGTACATCTGCCTCAAGAGATGCATCCATCCAGACACCCTTCAAAAACTGAGTGAAGATTTTAAGTTTTCCCTTCTGCAAAGAGAAAAGAAAGTTCAATTTTCCCCTTCCCTGCCCCCCAGAAAGCTTTTTAAGTTTCTAAAGCTCCAAGGATCGTTACAATCATTAACTCTCTCAAGACTCAATGGAGGCCAGCAGTATTATACAAAGTGTATAGAAAAATTGTGGCATGCACTTACAGGCTGAATTGTGGAATGGTTTGAACTTGTGACACTGTCTGTGTCTACACTATTCCAGTCCCAGTGCTTGTGGGAGGCTTGCCTTGAATTTTGCCTTTCCCAGGGCTCAGGAATCTTATTTGTCTTTGTGGCAGGTGCCATTAGGGCTCTTTTACAAAGAAAACCAGAGTTCAGAGGGTGGATGGGACAGCTCTTATACCCTTTTGCACTGCATACAACTGCTTTATGTTTTGGATATTGCTGAAGAGTCCTCTATATGTCAAGGTTTTCCCTAATAATCATAGGAAATCCTCTCCAGAGCTGGCGCTGGGAGTGCTTTTGATCTCATCTCCTGATGCCAGGTACCAATTTTGGCTTTGACAGCCTTTCTGGAGCATTAACTTCAACAATGCAGATATATCCATAAGGCTATATTTTCAGAGGAAGTGAGCACAAAATGTGTCAGAAACACCCCAAAAATTGGAACGAAAATGTATGCTCCTGTCTGAACTGCTAGAAGACAGCAAAGATGGAAAATAGAAAGCTCTGTTTTGGCACAGTTCTTAGGAAAATGTGGTAACGAGAAATATCCCAAACAACCGTGCATTAATGGAAGGCCAATAGCTTTTTAAAATTTTGGTTACATCAAAAAGATTTTCTGTTTTGATGTCCTTAGAAAACTTGAAGCAGTGACAGGTATGTAAATGAAGAAGC